GTGGTTGTCTGGGCCAGGTGCAGTTTCAGGCCCCTGTTAGAGACCCCCAAGTATCTTCAAGCGTGAAGACACTAACTCATGTTTTTCTGCATGCCTGAAGCGTGGGGTGGGGAATTCACGCCTCAGCCAGCACTAAGAGGAGCTCACCCAGAGGTGCCCTTGAAACTGTCACTTGCAGCGTTCACTGGATTTTCTTGCTGAGTGTTGAACAGGTCAAGTGAGTTTTTTGGATCAGGATGTCTCTACTTAAGCCTGTCAGTTCTGTGAGACTGGAAGTACCCCAGGAAGGGTCCCGAGCACCCAAGCCCCTCTGAACCCAGCCCTTAGCCAGTTTTTAAGCTCCAGCACCTTGCCCGGGATGCCAGCCAGGCATCCCCCCTCATCGGTGACAGGTCTCTGTGGCCAGGCACGGCACCAGCTGTGCCTGACATGACATGGGTGTTTCACAATTCACATTCCTCAGGGTCCTGGTCTGTCACAGGAACTGATGCTTTTTTTTTTTTTTTTTAACCCAGCCAATCTGCTGTAATGTCTAGACACAAGGGCTGAGACAAGAGCAGCAGGTAATTGGATCGCTTTGAGTTTGGCAGTTTGTGTCTTAGCTGTCACATTGCTTAGAGCGCTGTTCTTTGAACACGACCATAGCTGTTGTCATTCATTTGTTCTGTCACAACAGGGCTTCTGAGACCTTCTCATTTTTCCATAGCAAGAGTGAGAACTTGCTGATAATGCTTAATGTTTTTCTGCTGCATCACAATTGTTTCTGCTTTTGACTAGAGCTGTAAAGCAAAACCAAAGCCTCCACAACTGCTCGAGTCAGAGGGCAAGCATGGTGCCGGCGTGAGGAGCGTGTCTGATGTGGCCCAGGTTATTGACAAAGTGCGTGTATGAGCCTTGTCCTCGCTGCTTAACTAGGGAGGGAATTAATTAACCCAGATACCAGTTCCTCCACCAGAGATGCTTTTGGGTAACCTTTCCCAAAAGCACTGCAGAACTTGCATAAGGGTCGCGCTGCCATTGCAGGGAAGGAAATGGCTGCTCTTCAGAGGCTGTAGCTGCTGTTCCTGCACATGTGCATGCATGAACCTGTAGTGGAGGGGTGGTGAAATCAAAGCGGGACTGTGAAAACAGAGCCCTTAGTTTAAGGCTTGTGCGTGTCAATGAAGAATCTCCCCCCCCACACCATGTTAAACAAAAGCCTGGCTAATGATCAACACCAGCAGCAATATGTATGCAAGGTGTAACAAGGTAATGGTGGGGAAGTTTCTTGGTGTGGAAAAAAAAAAAATAGCCTTTTTTTTAATAAACCTATTTTTATTTATTAAATTGAAAAAAGTGTTGGTTTAAGTGGATAAAATGAGGGAGGGGAAGAGAAGGAGGGGAAAAAAAAATGTTTCGTTCTAGAACCAAGTTTGCTTGGGGAAGCAGAGCAGAGCAGAGCATCCTTCAGGGCAACCCAAACCTGGACAGGCACACCAGAAGGAACACAGAAACATGAAGCCACATCTATGGGAGTGGAGCAGCCTGCAGTAGCTGCTACTGAGGGAGGGCAAAAGAAGAGAATTAGGGGAAGTTGCCTCGGTTTGGTAGCTGGGCCCATTTGACTGTGCTGCACCCCCCCCAGGCAGGGTGTGGGGTGCTTCTCCTGGCCCTGCCGGGGAGCCCAGCTCACCCGGCTCACTGCTGCAGCCCAGGGCACCGGGGATCACAGAGGCTGGAGACCTGCACAAGTGGCCCAAGTGTTTGTCACTGGTTAAAAATGCAGAGAAAAAGCGAGCCCCTCTGAGGAAGGACAGGGAGGTGAGGCCCAGAGGGACTCTGCAAGGCAGGGGAGGTGCAGTATCCCTGGAGGGGCCTGGGCAGGAGGTGAGAGCTGGCTGCGGTGCTGTGCATGGGCTTTACCTCTAAGAAACGACGAAGTCAGGAAACCTTTTTCTGAAAACTGTCAGCCTACTTCTTTGCCTTATGCAGCTGGGAGGGAAAAACCTTCAGAGGGGTGGTGACTGGTGAAAGTGCAGATATGAGACTGACAGTTGTGTCTGTTCAGGCTTTAAGCATCCAAAAGGAAAAGGGGAAAAAACCCATCCCATCCAGCTGCCTTGATGAGGGACGAGAATTCCTCATGAAATTGCTGCATACAAAGCAAGTCCTGTGGATTGACAGATCTGGATGTAGTATTGCCTACACCACTTTGCTTCCTGAGCATATGGGATTGCTCACTGCTGTTGAGTTTTGAGACCATGTTTTAATTTCCCTGAACCACAGTGCTGTACATATTTTGCTCTTTTTAGGGACTGACATCCTTCCTCAGCTTTTATAGTAGCTTTGAAAGAGACACATACAACCTCGTTACCGTGAGTAAATTCCCTCCTGGGCAGTAGGAGCTCAGCAGGTGACAACTTTCACTTACCCTTCCACCTCTTGCAACATCTGGATGGTTGTACCCCGGTGCTGTCTGCTGTCACAGCTGCTCACTGTATCCCAATGCCTGAGTTCAAAACTGCTGCTGCTGGCCTTGATTGCATAGTGGATTTTTGATGTAGGGAACCCCTAACTGCACTGATCCCTCAGGTCTCTTTTCCCATAACAATAGGTACAGAAAGTTGAACACTTCTGCATTACCCTTCTGTGTGAAGTGCAAGTGTTTGAGGGCAAACCTCTTTTCATGAGATACGTTTAGCCCAAAGCAGCTGGGGAGGAGGTCAGCTGAGGTTTATACTTCCATGGCAGTCACGTGAAGGTGAGCTCCTCACCGAAGCAGTCAAGCTGAAGTATTTGCTACTGAAGGCAGTTCTGCATGTTCAGTCCCTGGTGATTTTGCTTCATGGGCCACCAAATACAAAGCCAGTAGGTTGTTCCTCTCTTTGAAGTGTGTGAAGACCTGCCCCAGGCTGGGCAGGCACAAACCCCCATCGGGCCGTGTCTCCCATTCCAGCAGCAAAGCCAAGCCACCTCCCAGAGTAGCTGAGTCACAGGCACGGGCTCACTTGCTGCAGTTGCCTTACATATTGACTACATTTCATTTAGAGAATTATCCTTAAATGCAATTAAAGTGAAAACCAGGACACAAAAACAAGGAAATGCCCATGTTCCTGTGTACCTCTAATGGCAGGTCTGTCCTTGCCTTTGGTGGGAGGCTGTGCAATTCTATAATTGCATGCTGGTTACTGCAGGACTCATCTCACTCATTTTGCAGCATGGATGATGCCTTGTGGCAAGCAGGCCACTTAGCAGCAGTCTTCACTTTTCTGTCTGCCCAGGTCTGTAAGGTGCCAAAAGCCAGATGGCTGATCTGCTGGCCACGAACCAGCACACAGGTGGCAGGGGTCCCAAGCCTGACCAAACCTGCCCCTGGTGTCACAGAAGTCACTGAGCTGTTAAAATACATGGCCTCCTCACAGCAGCAGTATTGCGGGGAGCCTCCCCCTCGCACTACAGGTGACTGCCCTCACCCTGGCAAGACATCCCACCTCTGGCCACACTAGACCAGGTCCATTGCTACTTCCAGGCTCAGAGTCCTTTATAAAGCAGCATTTATATTGTCTTTTCTTGCGCTCTTTAAAAAAGGGTGGGGAGCACTTTTCAGCCTCTTCAGTCTTATGGGAAAAAGTGACTCAGATGCAGGTGATTGTGCAAATGAGGGTCACTCATGAAGGCTGAAATCACAACTCCCTATCTTAGAAGCCAGAGAAGGGGGACAGAAGAGGGTGAAGCATGGGCAGAACTGAACCTAAATCTCTCAGGCTATAGCGCACCGAGGGACTCCTGAGAGAAAAAAAGAAAAAAAATTAAATAGCAGCTTACAAAAGAAGGCATGCCTTGTCCTCAGCAGACAGGAACACTTACTTCAGTCTTAGCCTCTGCTCTGCTAAGGCCTTAAGTGAGGAAGGTGAAGGCCCTAAGGAGCAGCTACAGCTTCTACTTCTCCTGCTCTGGCCTCTCTCTCAGCACACAGGTGCACAACGTGCAGAAAACAAGCACCTGGCTTTGTCCAGACCAGCTGGATGCTCACAGTCAGCATGCAGAGGCACACAGCCAGGGACAGGTGGAACATGCTGCAAGACCAGAGGCACCTGCGTGTCTCAAGATCTCCCCCTGCAGTGATAGAAGAAACTGGCAAGCACTGAGCTGTGGGAAGCCACAGGCCCCATCCTCCAGCATTGCACTGATTTGCTGGGAGATGGCTCACCCCTTCTTTCTCCTGCTCCTTAAGAAGGTACCAGGCAACATCAGCTGCTTCCAAGAGTAATGCCCATCACACAGACCAGGCTTCCAGTTTCCCCATGGACAACCGAGACCCCTTAGCTGTCCCTCCATTTTGAGGTTCTGGAAGCTGGCTACTAGGTACCCCCAACAACCTCCAGCTTCACCAGTAACTTTTGACACAGAACAGCCTTGAACCTGGATACCTCACTGCTCCTTGGCTTTGCCCTGACACCCAGGGGTTACAGTAAATTGAGAAACTGGTGCTCAGTACAAGCTGCAAGTATTTGTGAAAAGTCATCTTACCAAGCGTTAAGCAGCAAGGTTTACCCCGCTCAGACTGGTCAGTGTAGGGTCCAAAAAGCATATGTATGCATCAGACTA